CCCCCCCCCACCCCTTCTCACCAATTCTCGCTCTCCGGGCCTCCGGTACCAACGAAGCCTACGTAAGCAAAACCGATCGCTCTTCCCGTGTCAGGCGCATGTAGCAACCTTACTACTACTAACAATAAGATGCCTCCACACAGTTGCCTTCTCATGCAGCATTCTTGATTATTTTGAGCAGCCACCAGTTCACTAACCTCTGCAGTGAGCGTCGAGGATCACTTGGAGCAGGATGCATTGCCATGCACCGATCGGCCTGCATCTCCACTTGAAGACATCTTTGCCGCTGACTGTACCGCACCCTGCAGTTATGACGGATCAATTGACTGATCGCTCGATCAGTCATTATTCTTTAATAATATCGCTGATACCGACACTTTGCATATGCCGTTCCGCCACTGCTTCGTCTATGTTGCGCGCAGACGTTGATACGTTCGCCCCGAACTCTGTCAAGTGTCACACATGAACGCACATGTGAGCTTGAACACGTGAAAACGAGAGACGCTCTCTGAATCGACGCTCACCTGGAAGCGGATCCGCGCGTTCCGCAACCGACGCTTTTAATTTCTTCGTTGCCCTTTTTATTTGTTTCCGGGCAGAGCGCAAGCTGAAAAGCAAGGCAGGGTGCGTCAACCGCACTGACTGTGTCACGCGGTTAACGATCTGTTCAGTCACGTGTACTGATGCCGGCTCGCGAATTGCCGATATACCGCGTGTGCATTTACTGGAAAGCTATTTTAAAGTGACATCAATGTCGTGCAAGTCGCTCGACAATAGCTACCGTCCCAATGACGCGAAGAGCCGTTCCTTCGCTGTAAACTGTAAAATCGAAGAAAGTATATTATACCGGCAACGGAGATGTAATCGGTGAAATTTAAAGATTTTTATTTTCAGGGGCCATCTTTCGATGGCTCCAAGTACAAAAGAGTCCCCTGAATAATGTTTTTATTTAATTGTATATTCTCATTCGCTGAACCCTCGCTTCCCTGGCTCCTCTACAATTCACTAAGCTGAACCAAGTAAGGGATGAAGAGAGGCGTCGCAAGAGATATAAAGGGATTTTCCAAGAGTTGTCAGGTAAAATTGCAGCCAGGCGTCAGCGTCTTGCGCGCAATAAAGAGGCTCCGAATTCCTGCTAGGGAGACGAGCTAATTGGCCGCGATACGTCTAATACGCAATACCGGCACCGTAACTTACACGTTACGTTCGAACGAGAGCTGCTTGTCTACTATAGAAACATCAAGTGAAATAAGAATGTAATTTCTGGAGCGAGAAAAGGAAACTCCCTTATACCTTCTTTCTCCCTCCCCGCGCTCATGCTGCCCTTTCAATTTTATGTAATATCAAAGTTCCATGTATCTCCTGGAAATACGAAACTCGCTCCGTTAATCATTGAATCTCAGCGTAATGCGAGTGAGCTTAACGTACGAAAACGTAGAAGCATTTGAATTCTCAACGTGCAGCAGTTCCTTTCTCTATGGGAAACGTAATGGCGGCTTACTCAATAGGGACTGATACGTCTACTGAATTCTATGGAGTGCCATTATATGCATGCGGCGGAAATGAGAAATCGAAAAGGCGAAATCATGTAGTGCGCCCCTTCGTGTTGCTGGACTAATACACTCCACGTATCTACATGTGCGATTAACACACAGAAATCCAACATTATACATATGGTATAATATTACGCACACTCGAAATCTAACATATGGGAGACTTACTCCATTTAATATTGCATGGATCATATATATTGTGATATATATAGGTATATACATATATAGGGCATTGTAGACTATCCAGTGACGCGTCGTGAAACATTTAGCAAGAGTAAATGTGTTATGACCCACATGTTTTACCAACCCTCCAACCCTTTAATCACTGGACTGGTTCGAAAGCGACCGTGTCTCCTTTGGTCCGCCCCCCCCCCCCCCCCCCCCCCCC